CCAGGCAGTCAGCCCCCTCCCTCAGGAAGAGTCACCTCTGCCCTTTCTGTAGCCCCCACAGCCTTAGCCTGGGGGGGACCCAGAGTTCTCATTCCACACCTCACTTTACAGAGGGGAAACTGAGGCCCAAACGGGAGACCTTGTCCAAGGTCACACAGTGAGGCCTCCCCGTCATCCTGCTGGGTGTGGCTGGGTGGTGGGCCCAGCGGTGCCCCCTCCCTCCAGGAGGCCCCTCTGCTGCACAGCTGAGCTCCCAGCGCCCCCCTCGGAATTACCTCTGGGGTGACACAGGCAGGGCCTCGGAACAGCCACCTAGGGAGCAGCCAGAGCACCTAGAACAGCTCTGACCGGGTCACAGGCTGTCCAAGAATGCCCTTTCCTCTCGGGTTCACTCACACACCCGCAGAGTGCACAGACCTGCAGCAGGCCAGTCGCCCACCCCTGCACCCCTCGTGCCACCCCCGACTCAGGATCCTGTCACAGGTGGAGACACAGGGCACTCACCTGCCCCCACTGGTCCCCTGGCCCCACACAAAAGACACAGGCTGGGCCACGTTCAGTGCACCCCACAACTCAGAAGCCCCTCCTCGCATCCTGAGCCCGTCTCCCTCCCCCACACCCACCCACAAAACTCCCATGGCTCAGTCTGTACTGCACTAGACAGCACAGTTCTAGAACCCTCCATAAAAATTGAGCTGAACACCCTCCAGCCCCTGCCCGTCCCACCCCCTCACTTCACCTTCCCCTCCCGTCCCTCCAGCACAGCCGCCCTCCCCCACGCCCTGTGCCAGCACCTCCCAAGGTCACAGAGACCTGTCCTTGCAGCTCCAAGGGCGCACTCCTGTCCTGCTCAGCCTTGCAGCCGCTTTGGCCTCGGTAACTGCCTGCTCCTCACACACGTCCTGCTCTGGGTCTCCGAGCCACCACCCTCTCCTGCCCGATTTCCTTCCTAGGCCGCTGTCCCCTGCGCGACCCTCTTCCTCAGCCCAACCTCCGACTGTCCCCGAGGCTTCAATGCTGTCTGCACGTGCCTGGCCCCGGCCATCGCACCCACCTCGGAGGCTGGACCCCAGACTCTCAGACACGGCTGCTTCCTCTCCAGGCCATATGGCGTGCTCGCCCTGCCTCACCCTCGGGCATCCTGACTCCTCTGCTCCCCCCACACCCCCTGGGGCCACAGGATCCGCTCCATCTCCTGCCATGCCCACCATGCCACCCTGGTCCAAGCCACCACCATCTCTGGCTGTGACAATGCCAGGGGCTCCCCACAATCCACTCACCCCTCCTCCACCACAGGGACCTTGGAACGCTGTCACAGGAGCCACCATCCCACCTGGAACCCTCAATGACACCCGCGCAGCCGGCCTCCCTGCCTGTTCTCAGGGCTCACCCTCCGCCCCCTTCACACCCCCCTCCTTCCTGGAAGGCACTCGCTTCTGACTCCAGAGCCCGCAGTCTCCCATCCCGCCTTCTCTGCTCCCCAACCCGCACCAGCGCCCTTGGCCCCATCACCCCATTTAAATCCCTGCCCGGCCCTCTTCCCTGGGGTTTGCCTTGTCGACGTCTCTGCTGACTTCTGGAGTGAAGAGCCTGTCCCCATGGGATGCGAACTCCAGCACACGGGAGGGGTGGGGCTCAGCAGACCCCCCGGGAACCGCGGACACGGGTCCTCCGCTTTCTCCCTGTGAGATGAGAGTTAAGGTGCTTCCTCCCCGAGCGTGTGTGGCTTCTCACAAACATTTGCCTTCTTTTTGCATTTTATCAGGTCTTTGAGAGCTGTCACTACCCTCGGAAGGGCACAAAATGCCCACGCGGCACCGGCACCTCTCAGCGTTGGGCCACACCCACTGGATTAGAAATGCGTGTTTGATGTCTTCACTTTGCAAAACACCAGCCTGAACGCCCGCGGTCTCCCATGCCCAGGTGGACAGACCCTGCACACACTGCCCGGGCCGCCCAGCAGCCGCTCAGAGGCCGGCAGGGGAGGCCATGCCCTCCAGCACCCTCTGGACACCAGGCTCAAGCCAGTGTCTGCCGCCCGCGCACTCTCACTCTCGCTCACAGCAGCCCCTCGAGGTCACATGACGACAATAACCCTACTTCTTAGAGGAAAAAAGCGAGGCCCAGCCTGGCTACATTGCAAGGAGCACGTCAATTCTGTTTCTGGCTCTGATAGGAGCTAGCTGAATGGCCTCAGTTTCCTCATCTTTAAAATGGGGCCACTTCCCTACCTGGCAGGCTGGGTTCGGGGCCCAGTCGTAGCGGGTGGGGCAGACGGCACGCCCCAGGGCCAGCAACGCCCTAAGCAGTTGGATTGGTCTGTGCGCACCGAGGCCAGCCTGTGTGCGTGCGTCTGGGTCTGTACTCATGTGTCTGTACTCACGAGTGTGCACACACCTGTGTCTCAGCACATTTTGGTGAGTCACTGGGAATAGACCTGGGAGAGGGGACACGGCAGGGCCCAGTCAGGGAGCTAGGTTCCTGGTCACCACCACAGTCATGACAGACAACACGCCTTCAGAGCCATCACGTCATTACATCTCACCACAGTCCTAAAGGCGGGAGGGCATGGGACAGCCAGCATGCCACCCACGGCCCACATGAGAAGCCCGAGGCCCTGCCAGTGAAGGGACTTGACACAGGTCCCTCGCTAGTCGGGTGGGACAAACCCGCCTGGGCCACTCACCTGCTACCTGTCAAAAGTCTGCTCCGCACCCACTGATGAGCTGCTGCTAGGTGCCTGGGGAGGGGTGGCACAGGGAGACCCCG